ATGAAGATCACAAAGTCTGCAGGTGCTTCATCTATCAGGTATTGCCAGAACAGGGTGCTGGCAAAAGTGGAAACTTTGCTGGTGAGTTATTTGGTGCGTCAGGCGCGACGCAACATGGCGGTGGACACGCGCTCAGTGCAGGAGTACGCACGTGAGCTATACGCAGCAGTGACACGTAAACTGGGAATTGCAGAGCCCAAACCCTTCAATGCTTCCCATGGTTGGCTGCATAGGTTTAAGAGGAGGAACAAGGTCACCAACATCAGCATTGTTGGTGAGGAAGCGAGTGCTGACCGTGCGGCGGCTAGAGATTTTCCTCCGTTTTTACGTGAGATTATGGAGGAAGGACAGTACAGTGACGACCAGGTGTTTAACATGGACGAATCTGGTCTTTTCTGGAAAAAGTTACCTTCCAAGACCTTCGTTGTCCAGTCTGCGAGCAAGGTAAGGGGCCGGAAGATGCAGAAGGAACGCATCACCGTCCTGTTTACCACCAATGCCTCCGGTACCTGTAAACCAAAGTTATCGGTGATTCACAAAGCCCGCAAGCCGCACGCCTACAAGAATATGGACATGAACAAGCTTAATGTCCACTGGCTAACCGCACGTAAGGCGTGGATGTCCTCTTCTCTGTCCCTCTTCTGGTTTGACAACTGTTTTGTTCCTGACGTGCAGAAATTCTGCGAGCAACAGAATGTTCCTTTCAATATTTTGTTGCTCCTTGACAACGCACCTGGACACTCGCCCCTACTTATGGATCGTCACCCCAACGTAAAAGTGGTCTTCCTTCCTCCCAACACTACGTCATTAATCCAGCCCATGGACCAGGAGTTAATCTGCAATGTTAAAGCTGCATACTCGGCAAAGAAATTCAAGCTCCTGAACGACTCTACCAACACCAAGGATGAGTTGCGTAAGCTGGGTGACACCGACAGCGAGAGTAAAAGCGACGAGGACAAGGAACAAGAGGCGGCGACTCAAGAACTTCTCGTCAAACAATTTTGGAAGAAGTTTAACGTCAAACAAGCTGTAGACTTCTTGGTGGAGGCATGGGATCTGCTGTCTATTGCTACGATTCGTCACGCATGGAGACATGTGTTGCATGGCATACCAGGTGAGAGGAGGAGTGAACCTGTGACTGGTCAGGTTCAGACTGTTGCAGTAGCAGTGAACCTTGCCAGAGAAGCTGCGCTCAGTATTACAGCTGAAGGCTTCTCCGAGACCACCAACGAAGACATCATGGAGGTGATCAGAGATCCTGAAGTGACTGCCGACGAGATGTTGGAAGAAGAACCCGCCAGTGAAGAGGAGGAAGAAGGTGCGTCATTCTCCGAAGAACCTAGTTTAAGTCATAGTGATATTAAGTGTCTCATAGAGTTAACAGAAAAAATTAAGTCCATCGTTTCCCGCGACACTGACGATGAACGCCATGACGTCTTCCATACCCGACTGGTGCAGGCTATGGAGCCGTACATCACGGTGTATCATGACAACATCAAAGCCAGCCGTCAGCAAAGCATAACCGAGTTCTTCGCCCGCAACCCACCACAGCCAGCCCAAGCCAGTGATAGTGAAGTTGATTTTGAGGGATTTGTCAGGGAAGCCATAACAACTGTAAGTGACAGTGATATTGATTCACCTAGTAATGGTGATTCACCTGAGGGGCAGTAATCTGCCCTCTGCCTCGGAACCAGCCTCCATCCCCGTATGCCGACCCATCTCTTCTACTACCGTGAGTGTTCCTCAAAATTTTTCGTTTTTTAACCTATTCTTTATTTTTCCTATGTTAACCTTTATCTTTCCTAACCTAACCTCTTCTATATTACTTGTTTTTCATGCCACCATAAAGTTAAGATAGAATTTTTACTACAACATAGTTATTTGTCGTCAAAAAGTGGAGTTTGGGGGTCGGGCTGGGTTCTATTGGAATTAATCCCATATGTTCTGTTATTCACTTAACGCGGTTTTCACTTAACGCGGGACCCTCTGGGTTCAATTGACCGCGTTAAGTGGGGTACAACTGTATTTGAATATGTGAAAGTACAGTAATATTATAATGGTACACAAACTATTTAATATATATATATATATATATATATATATATATATATATATATATATATATATATATATATATATATATATATATATATATATATATATATATATATATATATATATATAAGAGTGAGTCATGTGCAACATGTATTTTTTGTGGGGGCACAAGTAACTCTGCTGGCGGGCACAAACTCTAGCTATGCCACTGCTGTACAGTGGTCCCTTGGTTAATGAATGCCTCGGTTAACGAATTACCTTCCATAAGAATCTTCAATTCGGTTAACGAACAAAAATTCGGTTAACGAAATTCTTACGAAAACATGTCAACATGTTTTGGCTTGCTTACCAGCTGGAAGATTAGTCTGCCAATACAGTAATCGGTTCTAGGGCTTATATATGTTTCCATTGGAGTAAATATCAAGAAGGTTGTGTTATTCAATATTTTTCCAAGTTTTATCGCTTATTGAACATAATTGCAGTACAGGGAACTAGTTTTTGGTGCGCCCATCAGCCACTTCACTCACCCACCTAGGCATCAGTTTGTGTCTCTGTTCAGTGGAGGAAACATCTTGCTTGTGGGTCTCTTGAACACAGTATTTTTACAGCACAATTATTGGTCATTCTGAAATTTATTTAACATATTGACAATATATAGTGCAATGCAGTGTTGATTTAAAGAAAATACTCTTTAATTACACCTAGTGAACTTAAAATTTTATTGGTAAAATGACGGCATCAAGCATGGGGTGATTTCTCTTCCATCCCCACTTCCTTTTCTTCTCCCTTCTCCTCCACCCCCACTTCTAATTCCCATCATCATCATCAACCAGGAGCCTTCTACATACACACTTCAAAGTAAGTGTACTTTACTGCATTTTTTTTTTTACTTTGTATGTATTTTTCAGTGAGCTGGAACCAATTACCCAATATCCCATTGAAACAATGGATTTGGTTAACGAACGACCTTCTGGAACGAATTGTGTGCGTTAACTAAGGGACCACTGTATACGGTATATGGACTAGTGGTCGGCATTCTCACCTCACAAGTGAGCGGACGCAAGTTCGATCCTTGGGCAGGGTGAAACTATGGGCAAAGTTTCTTTATGCCATTTGACTGTCTGCCCAGCAGTAATTGGGAACCTGGATATTAATCGATTTGTGGATCATATTCCAGGGTAATGGTTAGCCAGTGCAGTTGGCAAGTTGTCCGGTCTTCTCGGACTATTCCTTGACACTGGGTCATGCAGCTCGTTAACTTAGGGTGTGGTTGTTGTGTTGGCAACAGCTTCTACACCTTAAACAAATTCACGCCTAGGTGGCCCTTGGGCCGGCCATCCTCGTTACACGAGGGGTAACCATTATTATATATGGATGATTTTACATAGCCCTGGAACACTAAATACAAAAACTTACTGATAGCATCTGGTTCTCACATGCATTTCTTTTTACATTTTTAAAAACCCAAAGTCATCCACATACTGTACTTGCCATTTTATTCACTTTAACTGGACTAGCATGGCAATCATCCTGCATTGTACAGTACAGTACATCTAATTTGATTATTTCATATGATGGAAGAATAATGCAGCCAGCATGCTAACTACAGTATAAAATATAGTCTGCATTTACGCTGATTTTGTTTACGCGGCACCTTGCCAGAATGAAAATTTTAAGTTACGCGGTTCATTCCATCATTTACGCGGGAAGTGGCGCCTGGAGGGTGCGCATTAGGTCGCTCTTACGTTATCACTGACGTCATGTCGCATGCTTACCTCCCTCCGCTGCTAGCTGTGATTGGTCTAATGTAACATGACGTGCCCTGCCACCAGAGGGAAGAAGTCTCTGACCTAGCCGGGCCAGTCTCATTGTTCTCAGTTCTCCGCGTATACTATTCTCTCTGGTGTCAGCTATTCCCCTCAATGGCTTCCGCTGGACCCCCACCACCCCCGAAAAGCCTTGAACTACCTGGACCAAGCCATGGTTATGTGAAGGAAGTCATCGAGTCGGGGGAGAAAATCAAGCTCATCCTTGACAAAGACACAGTCAAGCATCGGTATGAAGTGTCTAATAACCTTCTGTCGAAAATTATGGAGCTGTATGTCCAGATGTATCACAACAACATCAATGCTAGTCTTCAATGTAGTATTACGGACTTCTTCGCTCGCAACCCACCACAACCACAGCCAGCCCAAGTCAGTGATAGTGACAGTGAGGATATGGACTTTGAGGGGTTTGTCAGGTAGGCCCTGCAAACCTCTGTTTATAGTGATAAGTGATTCACCGGAGGGCCACTAATCTGCCCTCTGCCTCGGAACCAGCCGCCATCCACGTGTGCCGACCCATCTCTTCTACTAACGTAAGTGTTAAACACCTTTATATTTGTACTTTTTTATATAGATATTATGTGAGTGTCAATACCATCATAAAATTATGATGTTATTTTTACTACAAGGTACGTATTGTGTGGGAAAAAGCGGAGCTTGGGAATCGGCCCAGTCTCCCTTTCAATTAATCCCATATGTTACGTTATTTCGTTACGCGTTTCTCGCGGACCTCCACAGGTTCAATTGACTGCGTAAATGCAGACTATACTGTATAAGGATTATGGCTAACTACAATAGTGATGAGATTCACAATTACTCTAGGGATAATTCTATGTTTAACACCATTTTAAATATAATTTGAGTACTTACTGGATCTCACAGCCCAATGTGTAATGATCTGGAATCTCTGAATACAAGGTGCATGTTTTATACCTCATTCAGGCAGGGATGGTGGGTCAGTATGGTCTATGCAGCACACAAAGGTCTCATGCCAGGCCACAAAGCAAAACTAACCTCTATTGCCTATGCTTACCACCATGAAAAAAGATACGTAATCAGATATTTACAGCAAAAAGACCTACAGTAATTATCAGGTGGCCACATAAATCAATAGCAAAATAGTTTTAATACATTTTATTCAGTATCACAAAAAAGGACCAATTATTTGTCACAATTTGTTTAGCAATATTATAAAGAGAATAAAGATAGCTATAAAATTTGATCACAGTTGTGTTGAAGGCAAAATCTACTCTAAGCCATATTTGGTAATGAGTTCATCAGCCTTGGCTACATACGCCTCCATAGCAGCCTCCTTGGTTGTGCCCTTCTTCGAGTTCCATGCATCCCACTTAGCCTTTCCTTTGAAGTCCAGCATACCAGGCCTCTCTGTAATAATTTGGAGTCATTGCTGAGTCTGATTTTAAAACCTTTACAACAACGTGAAAAAGAAATATGAACTGTGACATGGTGACTGGTGGTGTGGTCAGGCTGTAAGATAGTGATTGGTTGGTGGTTAGAAACCAATGGTGATTAAGCTGTAATTAGGGAAAGGGGGTCAAACTGTAGAAATGAAGATTGAATGGCATTGTCAGGCTGCTGTGAGAAGAGTGAAGGAATGTGCAAGCAATTATACTGTATGAAAAGCAATCCAAGAGGTATAGGTATACATAATTAGAATCTTGGGAATTTTATCTTTGCAATCAATAGCTTAGACAATTCTAAGACATTTCTTTTATGATGTTTCCTTTGCAGACAACCTATATATGCCATAGGGCCAGGCCCCCGGTTAAGTAGGTCATTTCCAAGGGAAACGTCATAGAAGAAAAGCGTTTTAATTGTCTAAACTACTGGTCACAAAGATAAAATCAGAGATTCTAATTATTCCTCTACTATAAATTTACCATTATCATGATTTCATTAATCTGGGCCTTTTCCAGATATTTATCGCAGTTTTTCCTGATCAAAACATTAAATTTCAAAACCCTATCCTTCCAGTAATGTCCAATTTTTCTTCACTCAATAAACAAACTTGTAAGAGAAGAGAGTCCCCATCTTATGAGGGAACAAAACTGACAACTAATATAACATACCAGTGTTGATGTCTCCAACTGTTGCCTGTTTGTAGAGGCCATACAATTCCTTCAACTCCTCATCATTTGGTTGGGTTTTAAGTTTCTTCACCTTCTCAGCAGCTTCGTTAAATTTCTGTAAGACAAATATTCTCATTATAAAAAGATTTAAATGATGGGAGAGAAAAAAAAAGGGGGGGAGGGGATTATAAAGCAGCAGTTAAATTAAGACCGTACTGTATTATTCAAGGAAACCCCAAGTAAAAGTGGAATACAGTATGACCATAAAATGATGATGTGATGACTATCCTAACCTTTTGCCCCAATCAATAATGTCTTTAGGGCAACTTTAGAAAGCTAAGGTAAAGGTGTAGATAACGGCTACCACCAGTAGGAATTGTTCGAATTAGATGAAAAATTTTCTACGCTAATATCATATTAAACAAAAAATGGAAATGAAAATGCATAGAACCTAATAGAACCTGACCTAACCTATCCACAGGTTGGGTATGTTAGGTCAGGTTCTATGCATTATCGTGTTAATTTATGTGTTAAACAACTTACCTTAATATTGAGGTTGATATAAATCCGCAATGGCGAGGAGGAATTCGTTGAAGCGTTCACCATCATTTATAGGAAATGTCTCTTGAAGAGGGATTCAGCGAGGTAAACAACAAAAATGGCGTCGGGAGGAGAATTGTGAAGCGGGATAGAGTAAATAATAATAAAAAAAATTACTTAAAATCATAATAGAAAGTTGTTGTTTCTTTTAGTATACTTAAAATCATCAAAACAATAAGTACAGCCAAAAAAAAAAAAAAAAAAAAAAAATTACCAACAAGCAACTTCTGGTGGTAGCCATTATCTACACCTTTACCAAAGTTAATTCTCAATATAAAGTACTGTAGTATTATGGTAATAAATATTGTGAATATTCAAACCTCTTCCTTATAATCAAGGTCTGAGAATATCTGGAACCTGGTACAGTATTTGGAACACAGCCATAATAATAATAAAACTCATGAAAAATGGGGACAAGAGAATTTATAAGACAAAAAATGAAGAGGACAATAATGAGAAATGACAGCTAAAAAGGAGAGGACAACAAGGAAGATGATAAGAATAAGGCCATAAAAAAGGTACAACGTGAATACAGTAACACACAGTGGCGGCTCGTCGGTAGGCACTGTGGAACTACAGCTCCCCCTATTTCACCCGATATATATGTATTATAAAATATAATATATCATATATGTTTATTTATTTATACTTGTACAACATATTTAAAAATATTATCAATAATCCTTAAACTTAATGTCAATGGCCATCCTCTAATTCCGAGAAAACAAAAATCCCTGTATGTTGAACTGTCTTACTCGACAGTTCCAATAACGGGTGTTTGCTTTGTCGCACGCATGAGCGCATGTCCTGGAGGCAAGCGGGGGCTAGCACTGTGGATCACACAGTGCCGATCTCGTTATCAGTGTGGGAGGTAGTGTTTACGCATCATCCTGTGTGGTGCTTACGCGCTGTCTGCTATATCAAGAGTATTTGAATGTGATAAATTGTAGATGATGTGATATCATACTGTATGATATCACATCTACAATTTATCACATTCAAACACTCTTAATATAGCAGACGGCGCGTAAGCACCACACAGGATGATGCGTATGATTCATACTCATAGAGACTACATTTTGTATTCATTGTTTTTCCAGAAACTTTATTGTGTAGAAGAATTTGAATTAATTAAACATGGCCTCCTTGTTTTCCCAAGAAACAAGTTCTGTGACAGTGAGTGAACTTCAACAACTTAAATTTTCACAGTTGTCTCTTCACGAGAAAGTTGGTATTAAGACAAGAGGCCGTCCCTCACCTGATATTCAAATATCTCAGCCAGGAATAAGCAACAGTAAGAGGTATATTCGTAGCTTTCATTCAGAACGGTACCAAAGGAAAAGTTGGCTCTGTGGTTGTGAAGTAAAAAATACATTATTTTGTTTTCCGTGTTTGTTGTTTGGAAGTGATGTAACTTGGACAAAAGACGGCTTTAGAAATATAAACAAAATGAAAGAAAAAACTGAAAAACATGAAAAGTCAAAGAAGCATATTGAAAGCGTGGTTTCACTATCACTTTTAGGAAGTGTAAATATTAAAGAAAAACTTAGTGAAGCCTATAGACTTTTGATCAATGAGCATAACAGGAAGGTTACCAAGAACCGTGAAATTTTATCCAAGATAATAGACTGCATTACATTTTGTGGAAACTTTGAAATTCCTTTACGTGGACATGATGAAAAAGATGATTCGGTAAATCCAGGTGTATTTAGGGGATTAATAAATTTTGCATCTAAATTAGACCCAGATTTAAAGAACCATTTAGATACAAGTACAGTCTTCACAGGTGTTTCTAAGACTATTCAGAATGAGATACTTGACTGCCTGCTGCAGATATACCATGATGAGATGAAGAAAGAGATTAAAGAAGCTTCATTTGTAGCTGTCATGGCTGATGACAACAGAAGTTTCAGAACACACTCAAATGGTAATTGTTCTACGGTACGTGCTGAATGAAGAAATATTTGAGCGTTTTGGGGATTCTTTATTCCAGAAAATCTAACTGCAGATGGCATATCAAAATGTGTTCTAGAGCAGTTAGATATAATCCTTCAAGGAAATAGACAAAACCTGATAGATCAGACATTTTATGGTGCAAATGTCATGAAAGGCAAAAATAAAAGCAGCAGTTTATAATAATGCACATTTCATTCACTGTTATGCGCACCAACTGAATCTGATAATGAGAAATACAGCAAGTATTGCGCGGGACTCAAGAATATTTTTCTCTAACGTTTTGGCTATACCAATATTTTTCTCAAGATCACCACAACGTCAGCATTCCGCGCCCATCCTCTACAAAGTGGAACTTTAACATACGGACTGTGAACAAAGTTCATGAAAATTTGCAACCTTTAAAAAGCTGCCTTGCTGAAATCCAGTCGACGGTAAATGCAGATCGAACCATTTCAGAAGCAACAGGAATTTTGCACAACCTGAATAATGAAAAAATGCATGTTCTGGTTGGAGCTTTTTCATGAGATCATGTCTCATGTTGAAGTAATTTACAACCAAATGCAGTCTTGAGAAATTGATGTGTTTAAAGTACATGAATATACAACAAATTTCAAAGCTGCTAATTTAGAAATAAGAAACTCGAAGTACTGTGAGAATCCGTTAAAGATGCTCATGGCTGAAGCAAAGGAAGTATGTGACTGCATATGTGTTGATATAGTGGAGAGATATTCTTTCACTAAACAATTAGTAACTGCTAAATTATTCAACAAGAAATGCTTCACTAGTTTTAAGAATAAACTGCCTACATAAGAGATAGGATTGACCACTGAAGCATATCCCATGATTGACAAAGAAAAATTTGAAACTGAACTTAAGAGTATTCTACAGTAGGTCCGATATGCATGAATATTGCAGGTTAATTAACCTGCTGAAATTTAACTTGGAAAGTAATTTAGATGTTAAATGGTGTTCTTAGTGAGATTACGAAACTGATAAATATCCTCTTGACAATTCCTATGACTGCATCAGAGCCTGAACGCTGCTTTTCAACATCAAAAAGAATAAAAACTTTTCTGAGGAGCACTATGAATCAGGAAAGGCTAAATGCACATGCAATGATTTCAACGGAGAAAATTTTATTTAACAGTCATCCAAACATCAATGAGAAAGTTGTTGACCTTTTCGCTCAAAAGAAAACAAGAAGAGAGGATTTTATTTTAAATAAATCTGGATCAAGCTAGACTGGAGTATTTTATCTAAGTGTTAAATGTTTTTGTTTTTTACCATACTTTTAGTATTTTATTATTTTTATCATTATATATATATATATATATATATATATATATATATATATATATATATATATATATATATATATATATATATATATATATATATATATATATATACCTACTGTATTTCTGCGTGTGTCTTACACAATATTAAAACAATTCTTCAAAAAATTTTGAAGCAGCACCCCCACGAATTAGTCACGAGCCGCCACTGGGAACACAGTAATAAAATTATGCAACTTTCTCCCTGGGATCAAAATATAAATAGACAGCATCAACTGACAACTGGGTGTGGACAAATTACATCAACAGCAGTACCGTACTGTAGCCACTGGCTGTTTTCCAACATCTCCAGCCCGAGACTGGTTTTTGTATTTTATATATTGGGCAGAGTAATTTAAACAGACAAAGGCAATTGCAGTTTAATTTCCTTACTTTGGAACTGCTGTATTAGCAATAAACTTTCCATGCCATGTCTCTTTGGAGTTTCTCTGCAAACAAATTTCAGCATTCTCTGCACTATACTGACAAGAATGAGCTGACACTTATCATTTGAAGGCACTATACATGTAATCTACAGCTTTGGTTTCAATATTTTGAACAAGTGACTGATGAAATTACTTGAGACTGCAAGTTAACTGTGGCCTCCACACCTACAGCAGTTTGGAGAACTGACAATCTTCACTGATGTCCCAGATTTGACAAGAAACAGACCAATTAGTACTGTACTGTTAAATACAAGCCACAGAGTACTGTATATGGAGGTTTATTCCAGCTAAAATCATATTTTTTGTCAAATAACTGAAGCACTGTAGGCATGGTTGCCATTGATGTTTCCTTAGTAAATTCAAAATTCTTTTCAGTTTTGTACTGTATATGTTCTACCTGCATAAACAAAATCCCCCAAACTACCGATCTAATCCTTTGCTGGCAGCTAATGATTTCCTACAGGTACTTCACCCTCACAGGTGTAAAAATGGACAGCAAGGAACATAAACATCCAGTATCATATCTGCTATTTAAGATTTAAAGGTGCCCATTCTGAATTATTAACATGATGATCCTCTTGAGTTTGTTGGTTGTATTATGAGTCAAGGAACATGGCTGGTGTACAAAGTTGTGAAGGGTTATATTCTGTGAGGTTGTAATGTTACTTGAGAGGAGTAATGACCGTGTTAGGGACAAGTTTGACCAGAAGGAACTGGGTTTAAATGGACAGAATTAAGAATATATAGTACATGTACTGTAGTGGCCAAGCATGCCTCTATAGATTGTCACAATTGCTTTTCTACATTATGATTTGTTTATAAGACAAAATCAACCTCCAACACCGACACTAAACCCGCCCTCCCCCTGATTTATGTATAGCTTACCCGACTGTACCAGGAATGCCAAGTATTGATGAACACTCCCTTGTACACGAGACAACTGTGATACAAGGCTTTCGTTATAATACTTCACATACATACAAACGATGATGCACACTGTCAATTATGCTTAAGTTATTGTAATATGGTACGAAATAAATGCAAGTTACAACACTGGGGCTATTTAGGTTAGTCAGTTCTGATGTCAATAACTGGATACATTTTTTTTTGTGAAATGTCAAAGGATTCAAAAGTTGCCGACCTAAATTACATAATCCTATACCACTACTTTCTCTCTCAACTTGAATGACCAAGCTATTTGTCCACCTTATGCAGTCCTTTGTCACGCAACACATTCAATAACGTCATGATTCATTAATTGGTACCGGGTATATTGTTTTCTAAGATGTCTACACACCACAAACAATAATACAATAATGGGAAATGTTAAGACAATACCTCCTCTAGAGACATGATGCAGGAAAGGGTCAGGAATACGTGTGAAAACTGAGCTGTCGATGCCGGCTACTGCAAAAGTCTGCTGGCGAGTGGCGTCTGCTGCTGCTTCCCGTCCCGTCTGACCTGCATCACCGACCGGCGCTCCGCCTCTCAATCCTCATGTTGCCACACCGATAAAACTATAAATTAATATGTCATTAAAAGCTTCACAACATATACTTTACGATAAAAATAATTACAAATAAAAATAACTATAGCTGTCATTTAAATTCAGATATTATCTATAATTTCAATATAAAAAGAAACAAAAATGTCTAGTCGTTAATGGCACCTTCTAACAGACTTGCCACGAGCAATGAAAGAGGCCACGAGACTCCCCTATAACACTACTTCATATTGACAAGATCAAGCAATTATATAGAGTAATCCTAGTTACTGGTTGTCTTCATTAATGAGCTATCAGAAATTACAGTATAAATAAAGACACCATGACGATTTATCTGCTGATCAACAACAGGACTATAATTGTCACAACCCCACCAAAATAAATGTTTATTATTAAGTTGTATAGCTGCATAAATAAAAAAAATCATGAGAAAACATTACACAAAAACATTGCGTACCAAAGACGTGACCGTTCACCCAAGCGGCTGGTGAAGAGGATAAAAGTAAAAAGTATTAAAAAGTGTCATTTTAAAAGGCTCGTGTTATTTATGTTGAATATTCATTCCAACCGATAGTCTTTCAGTTTATAATTTCATATTCTGAGCTATTTTTGTTACTGATCAAATTTGTTGCAAAAATCTGCTGCAAGTCCTCATGAACAATATTGTGACAAAGCTTGGAGTACAGTTTGCCTATTCTGAGTAATTCAGTCAGGTCTTGACACTGAGGGTGGTATCACTTCTCACTGCCACGCAGGACAGAGGTTCATACACAAAGAAATACACCATATTCATGCAGGGCAGCAGAACATTGGCTGGACCATATACTTATTAAAATGCCGGCAGACATTAGGAATATACGGATGACAAAGATTAGTGTCAATTGTGATTTATAAGCTGGGGCACAAAAGATTTACCCAAGAAGAGGGCCGATGAGCTGTTACTGTGTCCTTTTAATTATATATTTTACTGTATTATTTACGTACGTGAGCCCAAGGGTTCAGGTGGACGGACCGCTGTGATCCGGTTGTGTGACATTTTCTAAATGTAACTTTTTAAATTGGGAGATGAAAGTAATGTCAGTGTGTATTGTATTGAATTAGGAAATCACAAGAAGCCAAATATAATGAGTTATCGAAATACTTCAGAAAAATCAATATTTGTTTTATCACCTTTACTGAGGACATTAGTACTTACAACATTATCTGCAATTTATTTTGATTTATATTATGTTACATCATCAATAAAACATCGCAAACGTCTTTCTCAAGTATTCTGTAAAATGTAAATTCTCTCTTTTATGACCCCCTTCACAGAAACTACTTGCAGTATGGATTTTACGAATTACGACTGAGCTCGTATGTGTAGCATTAAGATACATATACCTAATGTTTGTTGAGATCTTCCAAGATCATTTGAGTAATACATTGAAAGCCCAATTGTACGTAGTTTTAGTAAAGGCTGTGTTATGTTATGATCCAATCACTTTTGACTTATGAGCCAGTGAGAAGTACCTACATGTGTTTTGTCTGCTGTCAGTCTATAGAGTTAAATTTACTATATCTAGAAATAACAATCATCATTAATATATATATATATATATATATATATATATATATATATATATATATATATATATATATATATATATATATATATATATATATATATTATACTTAAGTCAGTGCAATAGAGAAAAACTATGGGAGTAACTAAGGGAATACTGCTGATACACACTGAAGAGATTAATCTTACCGAAGATAAAGTACAGTGATTGGACTATGCTCTTATAATAAGACAGATACTGTACAGTATATCAGTTGACTATCTGGCAAGGCCTGAGTGAACCACTGTACACGTCATGTTAGGAGGGTTACACTGGTAATTTCCATACTGTACATTGTCAATAATTCCCATTACTAATTATATAAGCTACTTTCCATTACACCAAAATTATTGTATGAAATGTACGCCGCGCGTCAATTGGGCATTTAACAACCATGTGAATTTGCAATTTCAGTTTGAAGGACGCCAATGTTATCTAGGAAAATGTCTGGGCGAATATTTGTACCAAAGACTATATAGTCTTTGATTTGGACCTTGACTGTTGTTACATTCATATTCCCCACTAATATTTTTAGAGTGAGGATGATCTGATCAATTTAGGAAATACTATACTATAATGTGTCGTAGAAATGATTAATACCTGAAAGTGATTTTTGTCATGGAAGTAATTTTTGTCAGCGGGGAAAGTTATCGACTAAGATGGAATTGTCCCATCCACTCTGAACTGTTGATCATTCTCCGCAGTAGACACTCAATTGTTCACCAAACTAGCAACAGTCAATGTTCAAATATTTACCTTGTTTTGGTTAGGTTATGATTGATAAGGTTAGGTTAGGTTAGTCTAGTCAAGGTTAGTTTAGGTTATGATTGGTTAAGTTAGAAATGGGTGGGGGGGGGGGGGGCGGTGCCCCTAGTTATGCTTGCAGGTAAGAATCAGCGACAATTTCGGTTTCAAGTTCTTCAATATTTATTGCTTTTCAAGGGAAAAAAGGCCATAGTAACGTAAAAAACGTGCGTTTTTTTGTGATTCTCAACTTGGAAATTGATTTTTTTTATCTTTTCCACAAAAAAAAAACTATCTCCATTGCATTAAGCATAAAATATTGAGCAAAGTAAGACGAAAATTGTCCGCCAAACTAGCAGCAGTCAAGGTCCAAATATTTATCAATGTCGAAAACAAAAATTAGGGTGATATGAACAAACCGACTTTCACTAATTTTCACTTATTAGTTTTCGCTTCCCTTACCACATCCTATGAAGCACTTGAAGGTGAAAGTGGGTACCGTAGGCATGACTGCCCGTTAGAGACAGCGTGGATACAGCACACTGTAATACCTATACTAAGCCTTCAATACACAATGCGATACTGCATCCAACCAGGCTTCCCTGATATATACAGTATATACTCTATATATAACCAACTACATACAGACTGTGCAGTACAGTTACACATACTGTATGATACAGTCTGTGTAACTGCACTGTAACAACCATACGCACCTGCCATCTGAGCTTACTCATCTGTCAGGTTCCCCCTAGGGCCTGGCACGTCATCATGATTACATAAGGCATTATATCTTGATTGCCTTCCCCTGGCAACTCTATACCCTCCTTCTGCCAACTAATGTCGAGTTAAAATGTGACTTCTGCGAAATGTATTTAAACTTGATCACAATGAGAACTACAGTAACCTACAACAGCACAACCCAGTGAGAACACTCACTAAAAAACAAAAACAAAACAAACTTCATTGTTGTCTAATGTGGTACAGTACTGTACAGTCATTGGTTGTGATTACGGAGATCATGTTGGTATGTGTGGTTCAGTACTGTACAGTCATTGGTTGTGATTACGGAGATCATGTTGGTATGTGTAGTTCAGTACTGTACAGTCATTGGTTGTGATTACGGAGATCATGTTGGTATGTGTAGTTGTGGTAATAGTAATCACAGTAGTTGTAGTTGATGATATTATCCTGTAGTAGTTGAGTGATAAGCTGGTTGACTTATAATAGTGGTGGCAAACATATTAGTGACGGTGGGTAGTTGTGGGTGTGATAGTGGCTGTGTTAATGGATGCATGTACGACTGGTTGTTGTTGAGATTTGGCTATTAATGGTAATAATTGTTATCATATGAAATCCCTACCTAAAAGGTGCAAAGACAAGAATGTAGCTCAAAATTAATAATATAAAAATAACAAAACTTGAAATTTCATGACGATTAGGAACCCTTGTAGTAGACTCCATCCCCTACAAGGGACGACTGAGCCCCCGCGCGCCTACCAGCCAATCAGCGTGTGGGGTTCATGATGTTTGGTTCACACTCAGGATGGGATGGAGAAAGGAAACTCACAATGTGCTCTCATGTATACATGTTGTATTGGATGTACAATGCAGCTTGGTGCTGGGAAGGCAGCATGGTTACAAGCGTGATGTAGAGAGAGCTGGTTGGTGAGGATGCTCAGAGGAGGACCAGCTTGTGGGTCGCCATGCTCGCCGGCGGGAGCGAGGGCCGCCAGGCAGGAGCGGAGGAGGTGGTGTTATTTGAAGACTGGGTGTAGGTAGAAAGAGAGCTAGGTCACCAGGAGGTCAGGTCTTATATAGCTGAGGTAGACGTGGCTTAATAGTTGACCTCAGTCATGTAAGGCGGCGCTGGTTGCTGACCTAGACCACGAGGCAACGCTAGGACCAGAGTGCCGGTGGCCTCCTCCTCTGTGATTGGCCCTCTCGCTACGCTCACCCCAAATCCTGATCCTCGTAAATTGTATAAATACGGCCATGCCTGGAC